TTTTTTTTTTTTTTTTTTTTTACAAAACCACATAAATAATTTAAATAGCATTTTCGTGCATACCTAAGCATAGAATTAACGCAAAACTTGACCTCCGGTTGGGGCTTCAGAGACAATATTGGAAATATAATGCGATAGGACAGGCAAAATTTCAAACCTAGTGTGTATTTTTTAAAACTATTTAATGATTTATCTTTGTGTAAATAACACAGACTTGAACCAAGGCATGTTTTTGCAAAAAGCGCTAGAGTAACAAGTGATTTACACACCTTTACTATAGGGAAAAAAATTACAAGAAGCATTCCTTTATAAAATGGATATCCTTATCTTCAATATCGTCAAAAGATGTCTTTAATCTGTCGAAGATTTAACATTGAACCTCTTTTTTTTTTATCTGCATGATGAGTAGAATTTTATACCTAGTCACAGAATAATTCCTTGCTTATTAGCTCAAGTGCTATATTCAAGTGCTTCACAAAAAATTAATGCTATATTTAGTCACATACCTTTTAAGGAGAAAACTTTATTTTGATACTTAGAATTTAAGTACAGAACATATTGTTTTCGGACAATTAATCGCTTTGGCAAAATAGTATTGTCAGGGGCAATGATGGTGTCATAATGTCATGTATATTTTTATTCCCTTTAGCACTATATCAACGACCATGATATGGTAGCCTATGTAAGATGCTGACCTTATCTTCCTGAATATGTATTCAAGCACGTTTTAACTAGTTTCTTGCTTTGTACCTCTGGCTAAGGTATATACACGTACATGTAGGTAAGCCATGTTTGATCCTTTTCTGATATTTTATTAACTTTTTAAACTATCAAGGCTTCACAGCCAAATCTAAGAAGCAGGCTAGCGAATATTCGGACCAGTTTTCCCTATATTATTACTCCCTGATCATGATAGAATAGTTTCCTAAGCCAAGACACACTCTTCACGAATTAAGAACACGATTTAGGTCTGTGTCTCATCTATCATTTTCTCTTTTGAGGATTCTTTTCATCTGTGCTTAAGAATGAGCTACCACTGCTAATAATTGACGTCTCTATATGAGTGAACAATTCTTGAATTGGACGTTAAACATCATGCAATGAAATATGGAAATAACGATGGGTAATCACGCTCAAAAGCCCATTGAAACAATACAAACGGGGAGCAGAACAAACACAAACCCCTAAAAACATCAGAGGTGGGACCAGGTGCCATGCAGGAGTAAACATCCACTGTCGATCGGTTACACCCGCCGTGTGCTCCTTGTCATGATCGGGCAAACGAAAAAATCGGAAAGACAATTCAGTGTGAAAATAATGGTCTAACAATTAGTATGAAAAACTTCAGTCAGCATTTGACTTAATGATAGATCGTACTTGCTGACACGATGACAAGGTCATGGTATCGACCATAGAACTTGCAAAATGATGACTTTAAACGAGTCTGTTGATATTCTTGTTTCATCGACTTGTTTATCAAAAGCTTGCCTCTTTTTAGAAATTGTTCGGACGTTGAGTATTCTCTTTTGCCTATGAAATCAGCTGGACTACATAAACCCTGTATGCAGGTGATAAGGGTATAATGATACATAAATAAGGGAAGTTGAAAAGCTGAACGGTTTAAGTCGTCACGTTTATCACAAAATTTTGTTGTCAGGTTACCATTAACGTTTTCTCTAGTAAAATATCGAAATATGAAAGAGACCTGTAGTATATTTTATTTCAAGCTTATTGGGATATATCTTGTCGACATATGAATGGAAATAACTATTATTAATTGATAACTGATCGAGTTGTTATTATCAAATAATAACTAAACTACTATTATTTACAAACGGGAAGACTTCTGAATCGGCCACTTCTTACATGTATTTAAGTCGTAATATTCTACAATCACCTGCACATGGTGTGTAAGAGTAGAGAATGCTCTGTATACGATCTACTGTTTAACATGCAGGATACTGACAAATAAGATGATGTATCAGTTCTTTCATCAATCTCAACCAAAGTCAACATTTTGAAAATTCCTGGGTCATTATAGTGACCTTGTAAGCAAATACATTTTTTTTTCATTTTTTTTTAATTTGCAAGGTTATACACTTTAAAATTTTTGAATCCAATACCTTTTACCATAATTTTCTTAGTAAAAATTATGTAATTGCACTTACATATAGAAGAAGGTAAGATTTTTTTTTAATTGTTCAGACGAGCTGGGTATTTGCTTGAACAGATTTGATGTTTCATTTTAAATCAAAATTTATCATTTCTCTGATAAAGGAGAAGAGACATACAAATCAAAGATGGTAAGGGTATACCTCAGGCGAGGATTTTGGGCAACAGGCCTTTTGATTTTTAATTCTTAAATCTTTTTAACCAGAAAGAAAAATACATGTATTTATTACTTTTTTAACAGTGAAATACTATGATTTATTTATGGGTAAAAAGAGATATTCTCTCACATTGCAAAAGGATAACAAAAGATATTCTGTAACACTGTGAAAGGATATCAAAATAAGTAAAAAAGAATTTCTGGCCTGTAATAAGATAGAAATAGTAACTAAACCATCTTGATAGAGACTGAAACTGCCAATTTCTTTTCAAATATGTTGCTAAAATCCATGTTACAATGTTTTCAATGCTATGCCGTCTCAACTGCTCAACTATGGCGTCACAGCCTATGACACTGTCATGACTGTGTTTAAGAAAAGACAGAGGCAAAGGAAAAAGCAAATAAAATGTAACAAAAAGAAAAATCAATGTTTTGTAGTTGGATATGGAAATTATTTCACTCGTGGGACAGGATTTTCTGATTTTTTCACTAGTGCTTCACAAAAGTAAAAATATAAAAAAAAATCCTGTCCCACTCTTGAAATAAATTACATATCCATTGAATCCCACTGCGGGACCTGGAGTCTTTTTATACCACGAAATCAATGAAAATAAAAACAACACGATAATAAGGGATTTCACAGTAATTAAGATCCACAAGTGCCTTGTCCAATGGACCGTAACTATAAATTCGAAGATCAGGTTTCGTTGAGTATATAGTGGGATTCTTTTAGAGAATTCAAATTCATCAGGTATGAAAAACTGCACACTTTTATAATTGTAAGTTTCCTCACCTCTGGTTTTTCCCGAGACCGTATTTTTGCCCTATTTACGATTCGTTTTGTTTATTTTTACTGTTTTGCCATATCTGTGAATAGGGCATTAAACACGTACCTCTGGAGATTCCCTTATTTATGCAGCTCTTTAATATGGTGGGATAAGGTGTCTAGGAGGAGTAAGCATTCTCTGTACGGTCAGGAAATAGCTACTCCTCCCAGGTCCCTGATTCTACCTCTGTTTTTCCAGGAATACTTATTTTTGCCATGTTCGCAATTCTTATTGTTTAAAGGATTAAGACATTGATCACTGTTCGTTACATTTACTTTTTGTATTCACCTACTACAAGTGTGGAAAGAATGAAAATAACAGTACTGCATACAGTTATGGGAATCGCATCTCTAAGCGACCTCCATTGAAAATTCAGACGTGAATATTTTCATGTGGGTATGGCCCTTATTCACCTTAGAGTTGAATTCAAAGAAGTGACACTCTTTTTGACACTTCGGAGAACAGACACATAAAGACTTAGCTTTGTATTCACCTAAAAGGTAGTTATTTGATTTTTCATTATCAAATTCCATTTTGGCGGTGTATCCCCACGAAATGATGATAGCTTGACACATCATTAGAAAGAAAACTATTGAAATTGTAACCCAAAGATGTCTCATTTTGCACTGTTTGTTGAAAACAAACTACTGCGTTCCTATAAAAAATTGCAAATAAATCTTTCAGCTGCCAAGTATCAATATTGGAGCCTAAATTTATTAAAAAATATGATTGGCTAGGCGTCACATATTCAATATTTTAATTTATTATAAAGCTAACAAATAGTCTATAATAAAAATAAACTATTAAAAGTCTAGAGAATTTTAACTTTCAATGTCTTGGCGTCTTATTGAACGCGTATTTTGCATTACGTATACGAATATGCCCCGAAACATTCCGAATATGAGCGCTCAATATGCAAGCAAAAAATGTCGTATGGTCAACCAACGGCAATAGAAGGTCAAAGGTCACGGCCATGTCTCACATGCTCACATCGTTGCCATCAGTAAAATTTAATGTTCTAAAATAAGGGACCTATCGTTTTAATTTGTCGATCGTAAATGATAAGCAACTTTGTATATTATATATGAAAAACACATATATTTTTAAAGCTGTACTTCATAGAAGTAAATATATTATGTATCTCGTAATTTATAAAGGGAAAGAATATTCTTATGTATACTCTCTTTTGGATACTCTTTTTAATGTACTGTTTACCTTTACTTCTGAATAACTTTTATTATCTCAATTTCATACACCAAAACTTAAACTTATATGTATAGAGCAGCCCGGTCCTCCTGGCTGCAATAAGATATATGAAAGTTCGCACTAGTCTTGTTAATCTCTTAGCTTTTATTCCTATGTAAACCTGCAAATATCCACTATAATACTAACCATCGTTGATTTCTTCGAACATTTATGAAAGCTATATGTTATCATGACATAATTGCCAACGGATATATCAAAAGGCAGTTTGGAATAATTAACCCCAATTTTCACTGTAACATCCAATTTGTTCACTACAAATTCAATTTCCTTGAATTCTGTACTGCAAACAAGCTAGGAGAAAAATAATAGAGACCAAATTTCTAGAGCATTTGAATGAAGCAAACAGATATTGGAAAATAAAATTAAATATTAATACAACTAAAAAGGGTCAGTCAAAAAATTAGACGGATTATATTATGTATTTTATTTATCTTGCACTAAGTCAGACTGTATCAAGGAGGTACATGTAATATCACTTACATGTACAATGGGGCACTTGTCTTCTTTTCCTTTGTTAAGTACTGTTTTGGTAATATCATGTCTCCGTTTATATATACGATACATCATCAGGATTTGAGCTTTATTTTGAAAGTAGATTGAAAAAAGGAAAAGGAAAGTTTAACAGCGACTTTTATAAAAGTAAGTAAAATATTATACGTATTTATACGTATCTGAATATATTTTAATTTTAATACATCAAATATTTATGCAGTAAAGTATTTACGTATAGAAACACTTTTAAAACTTAATATATTATGCATACATGCATCTAATTAAATTTTTAACTTCACTAGGAAATTGCGCATTACGCGTGACTCTATAAGCTAATCATGGAATTTTCCTTAAAGTAATATGTCCCTTAAATTTTCATATATGTAGGTTATGCATATGGAGTTGCACGATTTACATTGTTATATGTTCTAAGGCAGATACATGTAATATCATAATTATGATTTCGATATCTCTTCAGATTATGTCTCAGATATTAGTGTTCATCCTGTATTTCAATACGACATTGATATCTCTTCAGATTATGTCTCAGATATTAGTGTTTTCCCTTAATTACCATACAATATTGATATCTCTTAAGATTATGTCTCAGATATTAGTCTTCACCCTTTATTACCATATGAATTTGATATCTCTTCAGATTATGTCTCAGATATTAGTGGTCACCCTTTATTACCATATGACTTTGATATCTCTTCAGATAACTGTATGTCTCAGATATTAGTGGTCACACTTTATTACAATATGACTTTGATATCTCTTCAGATTACGTCTTAGATATTAGTGTTCACCCTTTCTTAACATAAGATTTTGATATCTCTTCAGATTATGTCTCAGATATTGGTCACTCTCATGTTGTCACAGCTACAAATAAGTTTTTCCCAGAACCTTTACATACGAAAGGGCGATGATAAATGTGCATTCGGGGCATTGGAAGAATCCCTGCATTCATTAAAAACGTATTTAAACTCCGAATTAAAAGACTTGGAACAGAAAGGTACTTGAAATCAATATGTGTAGAGTCAAATGCTTGATTCATTTAAATATTCTAACAGAACAGGCTTCCACGTGAAAAAAATTCTTTGTTTACTTATAAAATTAATCTAATTAATATATATAACTGTTTTGATGATAAACTATTAATAATAGCTATTGAACAGTTGGATTTAAAAACTGTTTCTTTTACTTTCAGTGAAAAGGGAAAACATACAGAGATTCCAAAATCTTCAAACACAGATAAACAATTTAAAAAGTATGTTGATCAAAGTAGTAAACACCCCAAGATTTTTATTTCATTTTATACGTTAATATGATTTATATATATTTTCAAGCACTAATTTTTCGATTAATTAAACCGTTTGTTAGAAAATAAAAAGCTTGAATATCGAAAATGAAGACTTCATTATGTATTGTTTTGACCGCGTATGTGTTGGAATTTGTTTTCAATGTCAGATTGTCCGAAAGGATGGGTCAAGCATAGTAATTCATGCTACATGCTAAACACACAAAAGTCAACATGGGAACAGGCAAATGTGAGAAATTTTCAAGATTTACATTCAAAGATATTCTGTAATATTACCCTGTCCATTGACAATAGGTGTGATTTCTTCGAAGCTCTTCAAAACCACGAAAGGGTGTCCAAAATTATTGCAAGATTAATATATTTAATAAAACCTAAAATATAGATCACTATTTTATACTTGATTTTTTTTTCATTTGTTTGCTTAGGCATACACAAAATATTATTGACTACAAAGATATATCTCATATTTATACTTTGATATTGGCTTGCTTTTACTCTATCTGACATCATTAAAGCGTATGGCCACCTGCATGCTTATCTGCGAATGTACAACAAACTATGACACGTACGTAATAAACAATCATTGCAGGTTAAATGCCATGAATTGTCAGCAAAGTTGGTTGAAATAAGTACAAAGCCCGAGAACATCTTTGTATCAAATACCATAAAAAATGAAGACGCTAACGGTGAGTGTTCGTTTATCAAATCAATTATGTTTTGTCTGTTTTTTTTAAATTTTTCACATATTTAAAGGGTATTCTGATTTTTAAGACCCCGTATCGAAGATTCGGGGAGTATTTGGTTTTTGCCCTGTCCATCCGTCTGTCTTTTTTCTGTTTGTCCGCGAAAACTTTAAGCTTGCCCAGAACTTTTGATTGGTAGAAGCTATGGCTTTTATATTTCACATATGTATTCCAAGTGACAAGACTTTTTTGGGGGGTTCCATGATATTTGACCTCTGTATCTTGACCTTAGAGTTTGACCCACTTTTGCCAAAAAAAAAAAAAAAAAAAAAAAAAAAAAATCAACTTTAACCTTGCCCATAACTTTTGAAGAGTTGATGCTAGGACTTCCATATTTTACAAGTGTATTAATTGTGACAAGACCTTTCTATGGGTGTAAATATTTGAGACCTTTTGACCTTGACCTTAGAGTTTTACATACTTTTAAAAATGTTAAAAAAACTTTAAAACTTGACCATAACTTTTGAATTGTTGGAGCTTTTGTATTTTTCCAAGGTTTATTCCTTGTGACAAGGCCTTCCTTGGGATTCCAACAATTTTGACCTTTTGACCTTGGAGTATGACCTACTTTTGAAAAAAAATCAAACTTCGCTATAATTTTTGAAAAGTTGATGCTAGCTAGGGCTTTTTTATTTTTCAATTGTATTTCTTATGACAAGGTGTTTCCCTGTGTGCCATTAATTTTGACCCTTTAACCTTGGTGTTTGACCCACTTTTAGATAACATTAAACTTGACTACAACTTTGAATGGTTGCTGCTTGGGCTTTCATATTTACCATTTATATCCATTGACACAAGTCCTCTTTTTTAGTAACAATATTTTTTTTTATCTCTTGATCTTGACCTTCGAGTTTGACTTGCATTTGATTAACTATAACCTCTAAATTGAATTTATTTTAAAGTAAAAGAATAACGATTGAAAAAGTATATAAAACATTAAAAAGGGGAGTTGTGTGTGATATAGTGAATTAAAGTAAATGAAATTTATTATTGAACAATTGCTTAATAGTGTGTTGTTATAATAAATTCTTCAATTCTTCGCTTCCAGGCAATGAAATTAGTGGAAATTGTCAACATTACATTTTTTGAGTGATTTTTTTTCCCAATTGTAATCAAACAAATGTGGTATTTCATATTTTCATATTTGATAAATCTGACATGGCTAACTTATTTTTACTACCTTATTTGTAATTATCAAGAATGAATTACAAAGAAAATTAGACATCGAAATTAGTGTAATAATTACAATTTGTTATTGAATGTATTTCACTTTGCTTAACATTTTTAAGTAAACATTTTTCATCATCCTTGCAGAGGCCCGTTTAAAAATAGTCTCAAACATAATTAAACAGGTCGAGACCACTAGTTTTTTTGACGTCAGCATAAATTTGCATGTAAATTATCTATCTATTTACTATACCGACTGTTGAGTGAGTCGCAATACATTATGGGCTACTACAAGTATCAATACGAACTCAGTTGTGTTGAAAATAAAGGGCACCTTGAATTGTCCCTTGGAAACTCATTTTTAATTCTTTTTGAAACTTATGAAAGAAATATTGAAAATGATGTATAATTTTTCATTTCTATGCTCACATTTACAAATTTGCTTTATGAAACTTTATATCAACTTGTAATACAATGTACATTGGCGTAAACCAATGTTCACAGATAAGCAGGTGCTTTTGTGTCGATAAAGCATTTTTTCCCACATGATATACATGTACATATCATCAATTTTTTATGTACACTCAAACATCAAGGCGTTTGTAGTGTATTTGAAGCAATTATTAATCATATAAAACAACTCAAATATTAAATGTGAGCATGGAACAGTATCTTCGGAATATAATCTTTCAATTTCAGCAATGTAAAGTAAAAAAGAAAGTAAAAAAGGTTTTTCCGGTGACCAAGGAAATATGCAGTAAACCGACAAAAACCACATGTCGCTATTGAATCGTAAACACGTAGTGGACCGTCATGCTTTGCGATTCATTCAATTGATTGGAGAATGGGTTTGACGAAAACATCGTCACGTGTTGAAAATTGCCTTCCGTAAAAGGTAGTGTACCCGACCTGTTAAAGGAGAGGTAATTCGAACACGTAGTCGAGAATGTTAAAGGGATTTCTGATAACTGACCAGAAATCACATATATATACGGCGTTTTTAGAAACCCTGCAAGTCTGCAGAAATTAATTACATGTTCATTACAAGGATTCAAACAAAGAGTCACGTTTTTCACATACCCGAAATGTGTCTTACCTTTAATCAGCTGTTTTCCCCGGAAATAAATGACATTCATTCTTCTATCATCATAGAAAAGAGATTACACGTTTAGGACTTTTTAATCTCTTTCCATTAGTTTGAAAGGAGTCAACATACTATCAAGACTTGTTCTAAGCATAATTCAACTGTGATAAATGCATCTATCCACAGAAGAAATATGCACATGCCGACCACGTGCTCCGTGGAATGATATGACTGAGGAAACTCGAACGATAAACAGGGCGTTTTTTCCTGTTTGCAAGAGTAGTGTTAAAATCGCGTTTTGTCATTAATCAGACGCTGTGGTGTAACAAATAAACAGAATAAGTTGTATACTAGTAACCTAAGGACCATGACTTAAAAAATGCCTTGTCTTGATTATTACAATCACATTTATTCTTATATCAATGTTATTTGAACTATGTGTGACAGAGTATTGGCGCACATCATGAACACACTGCCTCAGAGAGATCGCCATCTGAAAAATCAAATTTTCAAGAATTTATTATTATGGACAACGACAAGAAAAGAACAAAATAAATAGTTTAGCTATATTGTTAATGGACCGAACTGACATAATTTTCATTGCATTTTTCATCTACTGAATGCTGCAGCTGCGCCGTTCTAACGTGCCTAATTTTCCCCAAATGCAAACAACAGAAAAATAATTATTAACTAATTTTGGTCTCTATCAGTAGATGATATTAGCACTTTGAATAACGTTGAGCTAGGCTGGTACTGTATTAAGCGCATTCTTGGTATTTTTTATTTTAGACCAGATAGATCCAAGATGGCTTGGCCTTCCCCTTAACCACATTCGGTGATAAATGTGTCGAATCAAGATTTTTTTTCTATAGAATGACAATCAGCTTGGTGTGCTCTATTTTTAACAAAGCGCGAGTATTTACAAGAGAGAGAGAGAGAGAGAGAGAGAGAGAGAGAGAGAGAGAGAGAGGGATAACGTGATGTGTCATTTATAGTTGAAGCAGATCCCTATATGTCAATTTCTTTTTAGATTGTATCTTCCATTAGTAAATTTGAAATTTTATTATAATTGTGTTACTATTATTTTTATATTAAAAAAGGCCGTGCTTGGTTGGGAGGTACAGACAAAACGGAGGAAAACACCTGGGTTTGGAACGACTCTGGGTTACCATTAAATTTCACAAACTGGTACAAGGGAGAACCAAATGATCACAAAGGAAATGAGGACTGCATGGAAATACAATCACAAAATGGAATGTGGAATGATATGCCTTGCTCATTTTCATTGATGTTTGTTTGTGAAAGAGACATTTAATGCAGAAGAGGTCTTATTTGAAAAAGAGATCACTTTACATTTCAGAATATTTTATGAAATGAAATAAATGTGTCGATGTTTATTTTATGCATAAAGAATATACATTCATGTAATACAGGATTGTTTCATTGTAGATGTTTACATTTAAAGTACCGTAATCATACCACGTATTTATGAATTTAAAAATTGTAAGACAGAGGACATGAGACCATGAGTCTAAAAATCTTTTCTTTCTATTTTATTTTATTTTATTTTAATTTTTGATTTCATGAGAAATATTAATAATTTTGAAAAATTGCTAAGTTTTCTCAAAATAAAGAATATATTAGCAAGGTATTAAACCAAAATGTGCATGTATAGCTTGTGAATTTATTGTAGTGACTACTTTCCAAACATCATATATTTCTTATTACAATAATTACATGTAATCACATATCTATAGAGTGAAAATGCATGGGATAAAGACAATAGTAATTAGATATCAATTTCACGTGTCTTGTTTCATCACTACAAGAAGTTTATTTTACGACTGGAAATTCCTAGCTCTCTAATTAGGTGAAATGTAGTTTGTAGAAATCATTCGAACTTATGTTTTCCTTCACAAGACCTTCTAGGTAAATATAACATTTATTTTTTCTACATTGGACAAAATTTCTAAAATTAATACTACTGCTTTATGAATTTGTTTCATTTAGTCATTGAATCATGCTGTATTTTCTTCAATCAATAGATGAATTAGCACCATCGAAGAGAAAAAAAAATTTCGACCTTCAACCTCGGTGAATATTGTATGTCTCGGATACTTACAGACATGTAAATCATTGTATTGACTTTGAAATCTGTATTGTATTCAACTGTTGGGTTTCAATTTCAAGGTCAAACACCTTGAATAAAACATAAAAAAATAAGATCAAACGAAATACTGATTTATATTTAAAAAAAACAATCTATTTCAACTTTGATGTAGGTGAACGGAAAGACACAAGTTACATTAAACAATTGGATTCTATTCTGTAATGGCAAATATCTAGACCCCCACCCCTACCCCGCCTATCCCACCACTAAACCCCTAACAAAAATTTACTATAGTTAACTATAATTTACTATAGTTAACTAAAGTGAAAACTTTGATACTTTCAATTGATAAACTATAAAACTTTACTCTTGAACCTTTTTTGAGATTTCAAAGCTTCAAATCTCTTAAATTTGATAACAGTAATGTAAAATTTGGAAATAACATATGAATATACAAATAATATTTCAATCTAATATACAAAATGTGCATGTATGAATTGAAAAACAAAAAATAAAACGATCTGAAATCCATAGTAAAAAATACTTTGATTTACTATAGTGAAAAAAACTTTGATACTGTAGTAAAATATGGTTAACTATAGTAAACTATAGTTAACTATAGTAAACTGTAGTACTTTTTTGTTAGGGGCCCCACCAAATCAAACTTTGATGGAAAAATCTTTGTTGGTAGTTAGGGAAATGTTTGTAAACTTGTACATGTCTAAGCATAAAACTATTTCATCAATTATGACGACATAAGGAAGAAATAACGTCAAGAAAATGTCGCAAATTCACCATTTCAATAATTCTGAAGGAAAATTAACAGATATTTTAGACCGATATTTTGATAGGAAAATATGGAGCGAAGGTCTACTCAGTCTTCCTCTGTTGATTTAATGTACAGAATAGTAATATCAATAAAATATATGAATATTGTACATGAGGAAGTTTGTAAATTGTAAAAACTATCGTAAAAATGAACAACATTTGGGCAGTTTGTCCTCTAAAAAATGAACATTTGTGCAGTTTGTCCTCTAAAAAATGAACAACATTTGTGCAGTTTGTTCTTTAAAAAATGAAAAAAATATGGTAAAATCCCAATAGTGGTGACGTCACTAAAAATGTGCATTATGTTTTGGTTAATTTAGATCTTAATTGAATCTCGAATTTTGAATCTTGAAATTCGAATGTGGAATCTCGAATCTCCAATGAGCCTTCTGGGCTTTCGTGCTCTTCAAGATGGAAAAGCTTTCATTTAACCGATGGTACTTTTATCTTCCTGATATTACCACTTTCTTACACAGCATATCAACGATACATGTAATAATATGAACAACTGGATGCTTCATCGTTTGTTGAAGGACCATGTTGATATCAATACGGTTTTTTTGTGTTTGAAAACTGGCACATATACATTTGGGCAGTAAAATTGTTGCATGTAAGCATTAGATATTCTAAAATGGAAACATGTTTCTAAGAATTGATTTCCTATTTAATAAAAAATGAAATGGCAAAGAAAAGTAATTAACAATAACGTCAAAAATGGAACCAAAAATCCGTTATTTTTATATGTAATCACCAACTTAAAATATGATTTAAAAAGTGATTTCATTTTTTTTTTCAATAATAAGAAATATTGAAACATGTACTATTGATTTTGCGTTTGAACAAGTAATATCACATTATCATGATCAAATTGGTAATAATGCATATATCATCACATACAATGCATATGCAACTCATATAAATCAGTAGCAATGTATCTATAAAATAGTATAAATATCTTTTCTGCTTCAACTTTCAGTAAGGGTGACATTCTCGGCAATACATAATAAGCGTCTCTCAAATGGTGACCTAGATTCTCAAGGAGAATGTCACGCCTTACTGAAATTTTAAGCAGAAAAGAGATTTGTACTAAAAATGAAGTGAAATAAAATGAAATAAAATGAAAACCAATTGAAGGTATAGTGTACAGGTATTCTTCAGTGGTTACATGTATGTATTCAATCAATTTTAGCAAAATTTTCATCTTTTCACCAGAGACCATGCTCTGTTGAACCTCCATATGGCTAAATTTTAGGTTTTCAATGATAAAAAGCAAATGTTTATAATTTGATAATTTGAATACATGAATTATTCTGTCTTTCAGAAGAATAGCGATGGTTTGTTGAGTCAAAAATTCGAGAACAATATACACAACTAGGGAGTAACCGAACACAAACATATTTAAACTGTTGTATAGGAAATTTCTATAAATGTTCAATAGATATACATTAAGTTGTAATGAACAAATATCTAAATGAGGAAATAGTATTAATGTGTAACCACATATGCAAACTCCTTCGAAATCTTGATACCGGTCATGTATGCATACGTTGGAAAACAACATTATTAAGAATTCTTTAATATTAATTCTTTAATTAGAGAATTAACTCAAATTTATCTTAATCAAAAAAAAAAAAAAAAAAAAAAAAAAAGTCCACATTATGTTTTATTTACTACAAATAAAATAAATGAATTTATATTCAGCTGTAACATGCAAGCATCAGCAAAGGTATATAATTTTAACTACATTTTAAGTGCTTTGATATTAAAACAAACATGATGTAGAACTGTTAACAAAATTTTAAAGGAATTTCTGTTTCACCGTAAATCTGGAGAGTAATGACTGTCAATTACAGTGTGTGTTTTTCTAATCCAATCTAATACAATAAGTGTTTTTGAATTTATCTCATGGAACGTGAGCAATCCCAATGGGACTGCAATCACTTTGATCTTTTGATGAGGAGAAAAAGCAGTACATGATCGTATTCCTTCTTAAAAATAAAGCAGAGATTTTGAAGTTAATTATCATACTATTTAACATTATAGTAAATTATTCTTACATATTTTTGTGATTGCTGTAATTTAAAGAAAAGAAAATCAGCACATATTACATCGGTATACAAAAGAATAAAATATGAAGTTACATGTATCCTTCTTATTTTAATTAATTATAAAAAGGGAAAAAAAGATCAATATATGAATATAATCTGCATTTGTAAATGTATGTAGAAATGTTAAAGTATCTGTTTTATTTTAGTAATGTCTTCTTTAATACCGAACTTATATTCTGTAAGCATCAAGCATCATTCTATATTCCATCATTTTGTTTCTTTTTCAAGTACAAAGTAATTATGTACAGTGTGTACATTTTCATTTTCTTTGCCAACACTGCACCTAGCTTTCTTGTTGTCATCTCCATCATTTTCTCCATTATTAAAGAACAATGTTCCGTACCCATGCATTAAACACATCGGGTATTTCAATTTCAAAATATCTAGATGATGAGTAATATTTGAAGTTTTGATGAAATATGAAGAAAACAAACAGTACAATTTAGTACTCATCATAAACAAAAGCATTAAAAAATTAATCAATACAATCAATTAAACTCTTTGTACAAGTATAAACCAGTGTCTGTGATATGTTTGTGTTATTTCATGGTTTCCATCTCTTATCCCTTATGGACAAGAGTTATTACCCCCCTAAACAGGGGACTGAATGATAACATAATTTTGATTTTCTTTCAATGTCATTTTCATATACAAATGAAATAACAACCTCATTATGTTATGTCACAATAACAAAAACAACCATTTTCCGCCATTGTGCCCCCCCCCCCCCCTCCCCGAAAAAAAAATGGTAAGATACTTTATGAGATATCCCGTTTTTTCTGGATAATCTTCCTAGATATTGTAAATGAGGAACTTATTAAGCATCTTTAATTTCAAATTAAGAGAACTTGTATTTCGAATCAGAATCAGAATGGAGTCAGAATGATTTTTAAAGTTGTAGGACTGTACATGTCAGGTTACAAATAAAAATTGAAAAATTGCCGTTCGTATTGAAGAAGCAGTTGTGTATGATGTCAAAAAGTATTGTCGTTTACTTTACTGATGATTAAAAATAGTTGATAAGTCATTTATGTCCAAGCCTTTGAAAAAGTCTGTCTTATGAAATTTTCTGGAAGTTTCTTTAGAGTGTTTGAGTATCCACATTTTATTTACACCAGTTTTTAAATACGGGTATGTTTTGTACACTAATGCTAAAGTTTCGCCCTCATTGCTGTTAATATTTGCCTGAGGAGCAAAACAAGAGTTATAATAGAGCATTAACTATATTCCGCTATGTATCAGTAGGGATTTTTGTAAAACCTGTTCAGTATGTAACTATGGTGATTCAAATTCATTTTCCTTGTTAAGAATCTTGAAAATGTTTATTACAGATATGTGAATAATCTATTTTATTAAATTTGAAGTAAAATGTAGTTCAACTG